TAACATCACTCCTCATTCCTCTCATTAGAACCTTCAGAATACTCCCTGTATCAAGTATGGGCCCTCTGCTTTCAGTAGTACGGGCCCATACTACCTGTCACATCTACCCACTTTCCACACGGACTATCCCAGAGCTCCGTAGTAGCTGCTCTACCTTCTCGTTCACCAATTCCGTTGCGCGTGCTCGCTCCCCAGTGAAATTCTCTACTCTGCCAGCACACTCATCTAGCTAAGGTTACTCCCTAGGCTCTTCCTAGATTCCCACACTTCTCTGCCATCAGCTGTTGAAGAGCTCCTAATGATGTCAACCATCTACCTCCTGAATATCGTCATATTCTCTTGGTAGCTGACTCCCATCATCGAGAGTTCCACGAAGCACGAAGCAAGAAACATTTGAGCATCGAAGAATACATAGGACTCACTCTGGGTGATAACTCCGCTTGCTCTGCTCATCCTCGAAAGTACCACCGAACTCTGCAACTCTTCCCCTCGCGGGTTCTAACTATTCTTTCGCTAAGTACCACGGTACTCATCTAGGTATCTCCCCTAGATTACTCCTCTACTCAAATCCCCTTAAAGGATTCCATCTAAATATTCTCACTCATCACATACTCAAAAGCACATCGCATATAACAACAATTCCTAGGCTAAGGCATCACAAATCAGGCCACTCTAGTCCTAAGATATGAAATACCTAGCCTGTCTCTAGCATGCAATAATATCTCATAAAATGTATCATAATTATCTCATAACACAAAAGCAATGGTATTTTGGGAAATCACCATTCGGGCTCTGGCTGATTGTACACACTACTCTTTCTCGCTTTCTCTTTGAACTCTTATTCGCTTTAGAAAATTATTTCTTTGAAAACTTTTCTTACTTCCTCAGTTTGAGTCCAGATTTACCCGAAGGTGCATCCGAATCCCTCAAACCAAGGCTCTGATACCAACTTGTAACACCGTAAATTTCAAAACAAATTTTCATTTAAATATAATGGTTTAATTCTTAAAAACACTTTTCTTAAAATCTCATTCATAATCAAATTACAAAACATAACTCCATTTTCACTTGCATAATAAATGTAACAGCCCGGATCCCCAGGTATCTTTACTTTCATATTTTTGATATTCTGTAAGGGGACTCGGCGAGTTGGAGGTCGAACTCGCCGAGTCGGGTCACGGTTTTGGGCGGAGGTTCGCGTCCGGACTCGACGAGTCCAAGGGATGGACTCGGCGAGTCCGCGCTGTTTAATGAAACCCTAATTTCCCGGTCCTAAGCCCTATTTAAAGGACCTTATGGCCTTCATTTGCGGCCACCTTGAACCCTAAGTGCACCCATACGACTGTGAGCCCTTGTGAGTGTGATAAGAGGCCATTTGTTCATCATTTTGTGTATTATTGCAAGAAAGGAGGGAGAAGATCAAGCTTGAAGAGTTGGGGAGCTTGGATCTGCTTCTATTTCATCAAGGGAACCTTCTTGAGGTAACTTTCAGAGCTAAACTTCGTATTTTGGGTTGATGTGTCAAATCTAGGGTTTCTTCTTGCCTTATTTGGCTTAAATTGGAAGTATGAAAGGTCCCATGGAGATATGGAACCTAGATCTGGACCTTAGCAGGTCCAGGAGACCCCATATGACAAGCTTTATGTCCATTCTTTTGAGTTAGAAGCTAGGGTTGCCATATTAGAGGTTATTTCTCAAAAATGAGCCTTGTATGCGTTGCATGGCGACCAAGACTGAGACTTTACGTGATAAATAAGCTTGGGAAGGCCAGATCTATGTGTGTATGGAACGGATCTGACCGCAAAAGCCAGTTTTAGCTGATGCATGGCATGGACTCGCCGAGTCTGAAGAACAGACTCGACGAGTCGCTTGAAGATTGTCCTTGAGACCACCCAGTGTGTAGTCCTTTCCGAGTTGTGGGTGACTCAGTGAGTCGCAGAGAGTTAGAAAGGTTTTGACAGGTGGACCGAGTCAAGTTGGGACTCGCCGAGTTGTCCTTGCGACTCGGCGAGTTGAGTCGCGGTGGCCCTGTGATTCAGGCCCAAGTGGAACTCGTCGAGTCGGGGGAGTACTCGACGAGTCAAAGGGAAAATCCTTGCGAGTTGGTTAAAACGCGTAGACTCGCCGAGTCACTATAGTGCACTCGCCGAGTCCGGTCCAATTGACCAAAGACTGTTGACCAAGTCAACCTGTGTTGACTTGATATGGATGGTCAACCTTAGTGGTACAAGTAATAATTATAGATTCATGATATCATAGGAGGATTACAGCTTGGGGGTTCGAGCACGAGTGATTCCAGGGTTCACGATTAGCGAGGCATACGAGGTGAGTCTTCTCACTATACTGTACCCGGAAGGGTTTGACTGTGTGACCGGAAGGTCGAATATGATATGAGATATATGTCTTATGTGTGATAAGTTATTCGTTATATGTGCCATGTATGATATGCTTGATTTGGGCCGGAAGGCAAAATGTTATGGGCCGGAAGGCATGGTCATATGGACCGTAAGTTTGACGTGGGTAGGACCGAAAGGTTTACCCAGTCGGGACGGAAGTCCCCTGAGACACATGGACCGGAAGGTCAAGGCCTGGAAAGGCGTACGTGCGTAGGTTGTATTTTGGGGAAACTCACTAAGCATTTATGCTTACAGTGGTTGTGTTATGTGTTTTAGGTACTAGTGAGGACCTTAGGAAGGCGCCGACGTGATAGTACACACACTCGGGGAAACCATTTTGTGATCTTTTGTTATGTAATCGATCGTGACTAAATTGTTACATTGGAACCTAAACTTATTACTCAATGTTTTGATGATTGTAAAAATGAAAATTTTTTGGTTTCGGAATTTATGACGTTACAATAAACCAGGATCCTCAAAACATGACTCTTTCGCTGGTGTGTACAATCAAGCCGGTGCTGTCCCGTGATCCTGAGAGAAACCTGAAACACATAACACAAAACAATGTAAGCACGAAGCTTAGTGAGTTCCCCAAAATACCACATATAACACACATTATCCACTCGAGGCTATAACTCGGTGGGTCCGTGCACCCAAACTCTGTGAACCCTCAGGTTCTAACTCTGCAAGCATGCACAACATAAATCACATAGAAGAATGCAGTACAACAACAATAGATATAAAACACTGTATCACATAACTCTTTTTTACCTACTCAAGGTAAAGTATAGTAAGAAGACTCACCTCGCGTATCTCAGTAACTCATAAATCCCTAAAATCACTAGTGCTCGATCTCCCGAGCTATAGTCCTCCTATAACACAATACATCTCTAAGTAACACTTCCCAACTAAGGTTGACTAACCCTATTAAGTCAACACCGGTCAACTCTGGTCAATGGTCAATGGTCAACCCCAACTCGCCGAGTCTGGTGTGGACTCGCCGAGTCTCTATGGGTACCCGATTCCCCTGAGTCCCTTCCGACTCACCGAGTCACTCACCCAACTCGGTTACTCAACCCTTGGTTCGAAATCCCCTGAATAACCCGCACTAACTCGTCGAGTCTGCCAATGAACTCGACAAGTGCATTCCATGCACAACCCCAAACGACCTTCTGAGGTCACATCTATTCCACTAACTCATAGATCCAGTCCTTCCAAGCTTATTTATCACGTAAAGTTCATGTCTTGGCGCTCATATCACACCTAATGACTCATAAATGGTGTTTTGACCTCAAGCACAAAGATCCCAAACCAAAACCTCCATGGATTCATAAAAAGCTTGGACAAAGGGACACTCTGGACCTCCAAGGGTCTAGATCCAGAACCTAACTCACTTAAGGGACCATGGGAGCACTAGATCTAGCCACAAAAGGGCTCAATAAACCCTAAATCAACATGAACATCACCTTAACAGAAAATGGCTCGAAAATAGTACCTCAAATGTGATTTTCTAGACCTCAAATCTTCAGGATGTTAACCCTCTTGCTTCCTCTTGGCTAAAGCTTCCTCTCCCTTGCTAGACAACACCTCCAAGGTTGATAATGGCTCCTTCTCTCACTCTAAACGCTCAAGTGCACTAGGGTTTCGCTCTGGGGGCTGGTGAGCACAAATGACGGCCATAAGGCCCTTTAAATAGGCCTCAAACCCGAGAAATTAGGGTTTTATTAAATAGCGCGGACTCGCCGAGTCCACCAATGCGACTCGTCGAGTCCAGTCATTAATCCGGATGAGAAATCGCGTCTCTACTCGGCGAGTCTACGCACCAACTCGCCGAGTTCTTCCTCAAAACTCAAAATAAAATGAATAAATATAATACCTGAAATTCCGGATGTTACAAATCGAACCTTAAAACCAAAACGGATCATCCACAAAGTAATCAAACACAAAGGGAATTAAATCCCAACCAAACACCCTTGCAAATCCATAACACAAGAATCAAATCTGAATCGGTGCTGAAGACAGAAAGATCGAGAAAGAGGGTAGAGAAAGAGAATAAATCGAAATGACCCAAATCAAATCCATAAATCCAAGAATCAGAGATAAGTAATGTGTTCCTCATGATGATCGATGTTGAGCTTCATATGCCCATTTTTTCTCACACTCTTTCCTTTTGTCAAGATCTACATGTCGGATCTTCTTTTAGAGGGTGCAAGAGAGTAAGGCACATGTGGAGTGCAGGTGGCGCCGAAGACAAGTGTTATTGCCGACAACTACAAATGCTTCAGGCATGGAGGTGCTGGCTAAACCTGGAGTAGGGTTTGTGAGATGTGCAAAGGAGATAGAGAAAGACAGGAGAGAAAGAGATTGGAGAGACAAATGGTATCAATTGTTTCCTCTTTAATTAAAAAATAAATAAAAAAAGCGAAAAAATATATCATGGGCATTATAGTCGTTTTATTAAGCATGTATAAAATCAAAACCTAAGGATGGTCTGAATAAAAAAAAAGATAGGGACCAAACATAACATTTTGACATAACACATGGATGATTTAGTAATTTGTTGTATGTTTTATGATCATCCGATAAGACAATCGTTGCAAGAAAAAGAAGTATACCAAACGAAAGAAAGAAAGGCCATTATTGAAAGTCAAGGCCTCATAGCCAAGGAAGGGCACAAGATACTAAAGTGGGCACGCACGCAAGAGGTGCCGTAAAAATAAATTCTCCCGCCATCATCCAAAAATATACATAAACACCACCATAATCATCATTTCTTTCTTGGATCTCGAGTATCTACCATTTTTTTTTTCATTCTCTCTAAGTTTCTAAGAAGAAAAATAAGTAAAAATCAGGCAAATGGAGTTACCGGTGATCGATCTGGAACCGTATTTGGATGTAGTGTCTGGCAAATATTGCGGCGATGAAGTCTTAAATCCCCAACTGAAGACGGCTTGCTCGGAGGTTAGTCGAACCCTAAAAGAAACAGGAGCTTTGCTCGTCAAAGATCCCCGATGTTCTGCTCAAGATAACGATCGGTTTATCGATATGATGGAGAAGTATTTCGAAAAGCCTGATGAGTTTAAACGTCTCCAAGAGCGTCCTCACCTCCATTATCAGGTTTTTTCATATACCGATTCCCAGTCAACCTAGTGTTACGGATTGTGTTTGAATTGCATTGATTGATTTATTTGATCGATAGATAAATCCGAGGAATTTTGGGGGTTTAGCAGAAAAATATGTAAAATCAAGTTTACTTACATGCTCAATTATTTGTTTTTATTCGTCCTTCCGATCAGAAAAGGGGATGCAGATGCGAAAATAATACTTGTTCAAGTTTAGAATCCATTGATGTTAAATGTTAAGTGTGGTTTACCTGGAAAATGAAATTGTCATGTTGAAATCGTAATTAGTCAAATTGGGTTTCGAAAGAAAAAGATAAATTGGGTGTTTTGGTAACAAGCAAGTGATTTGAATGGTGTTTGTGAAAATTACAGGTCGGTGTGACACCAGAAGGAATAGAAATTCCTCGTAGTTTGGTTGATGGGGAAATGCAAAACAAGCTGAGATCATTGCCTAAAGAGTCTCAGCCGTTGACCCCATCAGGTCCAGATCCTAAGTGGCGATACATGTGGAGAGTTGGTCCTCGACCATCAACTACTCACTTTCAGGTTTAGCAGACTTCTCCTTAAACTCGTGATTAGTTCAAGATTCCCAAAGGGATTGGAATGAATGGAATCAAATTCCGTTTGGATCCGTGTTTCATCGTTCCAAGGATGGGGGTGAAGGAATTGAATTCCATTCTCGGTCCCTTAAAAGACCAAAGTGTCATTACAAAATCTTTCACTTCCAAAATCATTGATGACTTTTGTTGATGTAGGAACTGAACTCGGAGCCAGTTATACCTGAAGGTTTCCTCGAATGGAAAGAGACCATGGATTCTTGGGGTTCCAAAATGATATCTGCTATAGAGGTGAAGTAGTGACTTTGCATCATAATTTCTTGATTGAATGTTACAGGATATAATTCAAAATTCAATTTCCTCAGGCTGTTGCTGAAATGGCAGCAATTGGTTTTGGCCTACCAAAGGATGCATTCACTGCTCTAATGAAGAATGTGAGTGTTTATTTATGAACTTGCAAAACCCGGATATTCTTATGATTTTTTTTAGGGTTAGGTCATTGTACTTGTAAAATGGTTCCACTCAGGTCACTTTTTTAATGTGACACATAAGTAAATGGTTAAGGTCATAGAAAAGTAATATTCCTTTTAACTTATCCTAACCAAACTTTTTTTTATTGTACTCTGGTTTTGATTTTATGTGGCATGTCCATGAGCTACTTCCATTTGTTGATGTTTGAATTATATGTTTCTGGATTGCAGGGTCCACATCTTCTTGCTCCAACAGGGAGTAACCTTGAACGCCATGGGAAAGAGGGTACTGTGTTTGCTGGATATCATTATGACCTTAATTTTTTAACCATTCATGGCAGAAGTAGATTCCCTGGTCTAAGTATTTGGCTAAGGAATGGGAAGAAAGTAGAAGTCAAGGTTCCAGTTGGTTGTCTACTTATTCAGACAGGAAAGCAGGTAAACAAATACCAATCTACTTTCATTCCCTTACTTAACCTAAAAATGGCTCATGTTTTATCTTTTATGATGGATATGAATAAATGCTTCCTGAGTAGCAATTTTACCCAAAAATGGTTCACGTTTCACCTTAGCTACTTTAAATAGTCTACCCAGTTATAGCAATGTTATAAAGTACAAAGCAATTTTCACTGGTTTTTATTTTTTTGAAAGTACAATGCTATAATTGGTAGGTTGTTCAAAGTACAATTACTTTATAAAAGAATTGAAGTACAAGGCTGCAATAGAAAGAAACGGAAGTAGGTTGCTCTATTACACAAAGTTATTACAGTACATTGCTTCTTCTTAGCTTTTTGGTTTATGGAAATGAAATGTAAATAAAATCTACAGCCGTTCATGATGCCAAAAAAGTGATGTTAAAACTGAGTTTAAGCTGTCTATATTTTATTTTATTTTTGAATTTTCAGATAGAATGGTTGACTGCTGGAGATTGTATAGCTGGTATGCATGAAGTTGTGGTAACTAACAGAACACTTGAGTCAATTAAAGCTGCATCACAAGAAAATCGAAGCCTCTGGAGAGTATCATCAACAGTAAGTGCATCAGTTTTTAATTTACTTTTCTTTTTTACTTTATACACTGTTTAATTATACTTACTTATTTAACAAGAAAAATAAATTTAACACTCATCAGAACCCATGTAAGATTATAGTTAAAGCATATAATTTAGTTATTTTTAGAAACTTGTTATTTATATATAAACATCAATTGTTTTTCAAAAAAATGTCATAAAAAACTATGAATAACAATTAGTTATATTGCAATTTTTTTATTTCATTCTATCTGACGAAACAGTTTTTTTTTTTTTTTTTCCTCATCCCAATGAATAAATCATTCCATTCTACCTAAATGTATCAGCATTGTGACATCTATTTATAAACTGAAAAGTCAACGTGTAGTTTATAAACTTGGGTGTTGTTTCTTTTTGACTAATTGGACCTTATAAGGACATGACTCTTTATTATTATTATTTTTTTGCTTTATGCAGAAAGAATGGCTTAATAGAGAAATAAACTCCTACCTTTTTACAAACTTATCATTATTTTTTTGATTGACTTAATAAAAAATGTCATAAAAACTATGAATAACAATGGGTCTACTTTTATTTTTTGCTAGTTATTTTCTCATATAGCATCAGATGCTGTGCTGAAGCCCCTGGGACATTTTGCACAGTCACCCCTTGCCGACAAGTATCCGCCCATTTGTGCTGGAGAGTTTGTAGAACAAGAACTATCTGTCATTAATCTTAAAGGAAACAGAGGAGAGCTTTAGAAAAATTCTTTTCATGAAAAAAGGTACATGTACAAGTACATCCCATAAACAAGAATTATTTTTTATTTCTTTAAAATAAAAGTGACATGGAAATCAAGACACACAACAAGTATATACTGAAGTAAAGTGAATGGGAAAAAAGTTGGCATTTTTTGTCCCACCCAAAAAATATCAACATACTTCCAATACCAATTCCTTTTTCAGATGATAAGTAAGTTAACAAACATTGTGGGAACCAATGGTTAATATGAACATATTTCCATGGCATGTGAATGAGTCACCGAATATGAGTTTAGCAACTGTTTCCATAAGTATAAGGCATAATAAGCATGCCAACAATGCTGAGGCTTAGGAATGACATGGATCCTGCATGAGTAGAAAGAATGAACGGCTATAAATGGAGATGGGTGTTATTATAAAATAATAAAATACAAGTAGAAAAACATGGAAAAGAAAGAAGCGGCAGTGGTGGTGGTGGTGGTGGTGGTGCTGGGAGTGATGGTACAGGGGACGGCAGGGTTCCCTTGTGGCAGCACATTTTTCTCGGCATTGGTGCAACTGATCCCATGCCGGGCGTCGGTTGCACCATTTAGCCCCATTCCTCCAAATGACGCGTGTTGCACCGCCCTCAGGGTCCTTGGCCAACCCTGTCTTTGTGTGCTTGTCAATGGTCCCCCCATCTCCGGCGTTGATCGTTCCATGGCCATGCAACTTCCTGAAAAGTGCAATGTCAACTTTGGTCCATGTATATGATGTTAATCTATTCCTATATATTTGACTCTCCAATATACTTACTCTGCTCATAGATAGACTAGTGTAACTAAGAAACGATTGTTTGTGTTGCAGGTGAATTGGTGAAGGAGCAAGTCAGGACTTAGAGACTCGGATGCAATGGAATAAAGCAAAGCCGGTGGTTTCCTGCTAAATAAATCAAGTCTCTTCTTTTAGTTTTTCTTATATTTAGATTTTAAATTTCCTCTGTTTCTAGTTATAGTATCTGTATTAAAAATGTTTCACTGCGACTGCTTTAATTATATATATAAAAACTAAACCAACATAACATTATCTTACCTATACAAGTATTTGAATGTTAAATAATTCCCTTATTTACACCTATGCATTCACGCTTATACTAAATGGTAAACATTTTTCAAAATGATTCTTGGAAAAACCACAATTTTCTCTATGACGTGATCATGACCAACAATTTCTTAGTCCAATTTTGTATTGCTGAGATGTAATTATAGTCGTTTAATCGTTATTTGAAGTCATGTATCAAATTAAATGTTAACTACCACTTTATTTTACACCCTCTTTAAATTTTAAAACTTCTACATTATAACTTAGAGATTGAGAGTAATTAAACGTTGAAAGTTGTTTTAACATTACAACTTAGAGATCGAGGTAATCCCAAATGAGAAGTTGATCAAATGTTACCGGTTATTCAACCTTACAAATGTGAAGGTTAATGGAGAAACAACCCCTTTCAAAGTCTTACCCATAGATTCGATAAAAAATTTAGAACAAGTCAGATTTTAACAACAAATGTCGAGAACAACAACGTCAGAACATGGTTTTGCCTGGAGCACACCCTCTTCCAAACACTATACTAATTTATTTTTAATAACAAATCTAATTTACTCTTAAATCCGTTCATATCACAAACGAGATTTGAACTTTCAACTTTAAAAAGAAAAAACAACACCTAATACCAGTAGGCTAGAAGCCCTTTGATACACTATACTAATACAAGACAAAACACAAACCTCCATTTGCTTTCATATCATTGAACATGATGTATAGATCGAAACATTTTTATATGTTCGATTTTGGGTTTCTTGATTTGTAATCTCGAATAAGATAATAGAACTAATTGACCTTTATGTCAATGTTGTCTAGGAACGACCATAAACTTACACCTATTTGATTCATCCAGGACCTGTATCGATATCACACTCCAACAAGTATGCGCGTTCATCATAAGCTTCACATCATATCTTATACCATCCTTTATAGCTGTCTTATTCGAAACATTGTATGAAAAAACAAGAGAATATGACTTATTAAGGTAATTAACTTTTAGGGTTGTTCACATATAGGTAACTATTTTTTTTTTTTGTACTCGTCTAGATAACAAACTTTTTGGAATTGTTCACATATAACCATTATGACCTGCTGTAGCAGGTTACATCCAGCTACAACAGGTCATAATGGTTATATGTGAACACTTTGAACAAGTTTGTTACCTAGATGTGTATAAAAAAAATAATTACCTAAATATGAACAAAACCAAAAAGTAAGAGTAAATTACACGAATGGTCCCTATGGTTTGGGAGAATTTGTGCATTTCGTATTGTTTATTTTTGTTGTGCGCTTAGTCCCTGTCTTACCTAAAAAGGCTATTGTGCATTTATTAATTTATTTTTTTAATTAATTTTATTATTTATGTTTTGTATTTATATGTTTAAAAAAATTAATAGACTCCACATATCTGTATCTCCTCAACGTAAACCTAAAACCACATTTAATAAATTTAATCTGGGTCCTACCGTTCACCATCCCATTACATATCCTCTTCAACCTCTATTTTCTTTCAATCTTTAGTGACATGAAAGTCTTCACCATCCTTTTTTCTTGTCCTTCAACTCTGGCGAACAAACACCATAACCTATTGTCTCTTCACTTTAGTAGGTTGTGGTGTTGGTTCGCTGGAGTTGAAGGACCAAAAAACGAATGGATGTTGAAGACGTCGATATCACTAAAAATGAAAAAGAAATAGAAGTTGAGGATGATGAGAGATGAGATGGTCAGGAGATACAGATATGTGGGGTCTATTAGTTTTTTAAACATATAAAAAATAATCAGAAAATTAATTAAAAAAAATTAAATTAATAATGACACAATAGTCTTTTTAGGTAAGACACGGATCAACCGTAACAAAAATAAACTGTAGGGATCATCCGAATTCAAAAAATAAGTTAGGGACCAAACGCATAAATTCCCCCAAACCAAATGGACCGTTCGTGTAATTTACTCTTACTTTTGGTTTTGTTCATATTTGGGTAACTATTTTTCTTTTGTACACATCTAGGTAACAAATTTATTGAAAGTGTTCACATCTAACCATTATGACCTATTGTAACCGAATATAACCTGCTACAGCAGGTTATAATGGTCATATGTGAACAGTTCCAAAATGTTCATTACCTAAATATGTACAAAAAAAGATACTTACCTACATATGAACAAACCGAAAATTTAATTACCTTAATTAGTCTTATTCCCAAAAAACAAATCATTAAAAAAATAAATAAAGATAGTTTTGTAATCTCATTTAATGATAAAATAACTTCCACAATTACTCCCCTATACTTGGCTAATTACATTGACTTCTTCTAACTATAACTTTCTCCCACTATTCATCTAAAAACAATAGGCCACAACACAACTTCTTCTAACCATAACTTTCTCCCGCCATTTATCTAAAAACTATAAGCTGCAACACAAGACACCTGCTATACATCAGTCTTCTTGAAATCCAATGCCTTAAACATTACACACTTCAATTTGGAGATTATAAAACCCAAAGAAACCCTTCCTGGAATCTAATTCAACAAGTCGATAAGAACCGGTGGAAGACACTTGCATCACCATTGCCATCAACATCAATTGCATCCATTAGTGGCATTAAAATTACCATCTTAGAGCCCATTGAACAATCTTTTCTCATCAAAAATATTTTGAAAAAAAAAACAACTGATTCAAATTAAATATCATGTGAATCATGTATCTTTTAGCATAAATGGATTTTTGAATAATCCCCAATTTCTTAGGAGTTTTACTTCCAATTTAATTTAATCAGATTTTTGCAAAGTTCTAAAAAGTTCGTCATGGCTCCAAGGCTTCCACCTGCTGCCAATGTTTGCTAAAACGCCGCGTTAACTCATATATGTGTATAGAAATGAATAATAATTGAAAATACATATAAAAAATATTAATTATATAGAAAATTGCCGCCTTAAGTCATGACTTACAAACGTTGTGACTCGCCAATGCTCGGAAAAGCTTGAGGTTTGACATTGCCGCCAAGTAACGCCTTACGTTATTTAGAACCTTGGATTTTTGAGACCTTCGACGAGGTTTCAAATTAATATAAGTATTTGATCTTTTTCTTGGTTTCGCTTAATGTTTCATCCTAGGTGTTCCGTTTCATTAGATTTCATTATATATATATATATATATATATATATATATATATATATATATATATATATATATATAAAAGATCGGTTGAGAACTCATAGTTTCTCGAGAATCTGAGAACTAAAAGTGGAGCGTTAGATCAAAACTAATTCATTAAGGGCATGATCGTAATCTTACTGTAACATCCCAAAAATAAGCCCAAAAATTTCGTTTTTAGTTTAACAATTCATAAACCAACAGTATATAAACATCCGTGATAACATCCCATATGAAAACCAAATGTCAGTAATCAAAACAAGTTATTGTAAAACAATATCAAAGTGTAATCCCAAAGATCTTATGTGCGGACATTGGCGGAGCTTTATAAGGGCAAGGGGTGGGGGGCTGTGCCCCCCTGGTTTTTTAATTATAAACAACCCTCATACTTTCATTTTATATATTTTTGGCCCAAAAATATAAAATTTTGGCTGTGGCCCCCCGTGCTTAACAATTTTTTTACATATTATATTCCCCCCCCCCCCCCCCCCCCCCCCCCGTGAAGCAAACGTTGAAGCTCCGCCCCTGTGTGCGGAAATCGTAGTGTGATGCGCTGTGATTGAGCTGACTACTTTCCTTTGAAAACGAAGTACCTAAAACCAAAACTGAAAACCATAAGCAAGAAGCTTAGTGAGTTCCCCTATCATACCACATACCATACAACACACATACTGCCAAGCATATCCGGGTGCCAGCCTACCCTTTAGTATTTTTCAACTGGTATCCAGGGACTGTTTCACCCCTATCACTACCACGTATAAACATAGCATAACATACCTAAATATACTGTCAAACATATGTAACGCCCCATTCCCGGTATGTATTTAAATAAGTTTATTCCTTTGTGAGGAACGCGACTAGTCCCTTGCCCGACTCATCGAGTAGAGACGGGATGAGGATGCGTATTTAGCCGGTTACTTAGCGAGTCCACACACTGGACTCGACGAGTTTGCATGTTTGGAGGAAACCCTAATTCTAGGGTTTTGCATCTATTTAAACCCTCTTATGCGCCCAAACTCGTCTCTTTCACCTCCAGAGCATCAACTAACAAACCCTATCCGTTTTCTTAGTGAGTGTGTGTGTGTGTGTTTATTGCTTGTGAAGGCATCTTTGGAGTAAGAAGGAGAAGGAGAAAGTTGGAGAGTTCAAGGAAGAGGAAGTAGATCCAGAATACACACTCTATTGGTCATCTTTTCTGGTATTAAATTCTATACCTTTCTTATTGATCATATAGATCTATGTTGTCCCTAATTTGTGGTTTCTAAGCCCAAAAATGTCACACCCTGCTAAAGCGGAAACGCGAGATATGACAGCGATAACGGTTTCATTGCAAAAGATAAAGATACATCACCATATCAGTATTTAAAAGTTTACAACCCATAGCTTCAAAAGAAACAAAATACAAGTTTTTCCAAAATAACATTGTTCAAAGATAACTTCATAAATAACTTCAACACGATGCAACATGCTCTATGATGATGAATCTTTATATCCACTTACTAATTATTTCCTGAAAAAGCATGTAAAACGAGCATCAACTATGAAAATAGTTGGTGAGTTCACAAGTTTATAAAATCGAGCTTGAATAAGGCTTTTCGTAAATACAAGTACATTGCTTTAATGAGAAACAAAGTTGATTGCTATTAATGAATACAAGTTTATTGCTATAACGAGAAACGAGTTTGTATGTATATGAGCAAACAATGAGTCTCAACCAAACCTATGACTGAAGCCCTATCGAGATCTATGCTTATCGTTCCATAGATGAATATGGTATCATGCACTCCAGCAATAGGGCGAGTGAGGAGTTGTCAATTCCTAATAGCGCTATCCATAATGACCATTGGATCAAAGAGTTAATGGTTAGAGATAAG